CTGACTCCTGAGCCTGAACACACTGTGAGGCCTGAGCTGCTGGCTACACCATCCTCAGGTTACCTGTGACCTCAGTTACTGGTTCACCAGCTGTAGAAGTGTTGGCAAGCTAGACAAAGGTTAAGTAGTAGTTGTGTCAGTCAGGCTTTCTCTCCCCCATCTTCCAGACTATCGCCTATGACTTCATCTGTTCACAGTGTTTATGGGAATAGCAAGTGATTTGATTTGGTTCCTTGTCTTGGGAAATGGACCATCAGCCTTAGGCCTACAAGGTGACATGTGACCCAAAGTCTGGTTAAAGGCTGCTCCTCCACACTCTGTGGGAAGTCTGGAGAGGTTGGACGTGCCAGTTCCAGCTTGGAAGAACTGGGTTTTCGGTAAGTTGCAGAGCCGTCTGTGCCTCTGTCAGGGTTCCAACCCCAGCCCCAACCACTGCCCTGCCTACTCTGTGTCCACAGCACTCTCAGGGCCATGGTAAGGAGTGAACGCTGGTGGGCAGACACCCTAGCAGCTGTCGATGCCTCTTCTTTCCCCTTTGAAGGACCTGATGCTGCTGCCGATGAGGCTACTTCATCTATTAAACCCAATACACTTGTCGCAGCTGCTAAGCCCCGTAAGCTGCCGAGCGCCGTGTTTGTGATGGGACTGACAGTGCATGGAGGAGGCTGATTATACACGATTCCATTTCGCAGGCCCAGCAATGTAATTTCACAGGGCGATCAGCGTTTGCATGTAATAGCAGGCTGTGCTGAGGTGTCAGAATATTAAAGGCGCTAATGGCAAAGCTCCCTGTTACACAGGGGGCCACCCGCCGCGCCTACAGCAGGGCTGCGCGGCAGGCCCGTCGCAGATGGCTGGCCACTAAGCTAATGGGGCAGCAGCCAAGGCGGGCAGAGTCGCACGAGAGAAGAGCCAGCCGGGAGCAGCTCAGCACCTGCTTCCCTGTGCATGGAAATTACAGCAGCCCAGGGGAAGGAAAGTGTGCATGCCTGCCTGGCACAGGGCTAGCATGTGTGGTTCGGTAGATCCAGCATCTTTTACCCCAACTTCACCTACCCTCCACCTGCAATACCCTCTGGTCAGGAACCCACAGCTGGGCAGGTGGGCCTGGTGGCTGGGAGAGGTTGCATCTGAAGCAGTGGCACCCAGAGAATTTGGAACCAGCATGGTTCCCCCCAGAAGGGGACTCAGACACAGGCTCCTGGTGAGAGCTCTTAAAACAGATTTCTGATCAAGGTCAGAAAGCTTCTGGGTTCTTAACCCATGCCCCAAAGGCTGGCAGAAGAGTGGAGAGAGCAGGGCAGGAAGCAGGTGGGAAAAAAGGGGTGAATAATAATTAGGACCCCTTGATTGATGCCAGTGTTGCTGTTGGTACACAGAGCTAGGAGGCAGCCCCTCAAGACAGGGCTGCTTCTGTCCACACTGGCTGCCCCAGCCACACCCAAGCCCTTGCCTGTATTCTCACCAAGCTTTCTCCTGCCTTTCTCCTTTGTCCTTGCTGTGTCTTCTGCCTGATATGTAATCAAACCCTCCCAGCCCTCCAGTACCACTCCCTCCAGGAAGCTTTCCTAGCTGCTTCCAACCCCATACAGGCCTGTTTGTCTCCATTGTACCTGTGAACAACCCACAGACAACAACCTCCGTGATCCTCCTGCTCTGATGGTTCCCTGGGTCCCAGCCTTGACTTCTCAGCCAGAATCTCTGGACATAGCCCATACCACCTTGCCCTGAGCTGGACACCTGGGAAGTCTCTGCTAAGATTCAGAGATAGATGTATTCTCTCAGGGAGGATGTCCAGAGGGAGTGGGGAATGGAAGGATGGGTTGAGGAACCTGAGGGAGAGCTTGGTGCCTGTGTGGGTATGCACTGTTCCACGGTGTACATATCAGGGGACGAAAGCAGAACTTTGGGAGTAAGTGCTGGGGGCAGTGGGCACGTGGGTACAGGTGCAGAAGGCCAGCAGGTCCAGGATCCAGACCACACACTGGTAGGAGTAGATTGCTGTAGGACCCTGTGTTCTCTAGGCGGCTCTCTGTGTCCCTGTGCCTGAGGGATACTGAGATAGCAGAAGTTTGGGGGAGCTTGAAATGCTGTGTCGTGGTACTGTGCCTTGAGGCTGGTGGTAACAACTGAACTTTCAGCTCTGCAAGGGTGTGTGACAGTACCCCTGGGTCTGTGTGCCAAGGTTCTCAGCAGGGGCAGCAGTGGGGAGCCCAGGCTGAAGGAGAGCAGTTTTAATTAACCGTTTTTAATATCATTTTGGACTTTGGCTGGTATGTGAAGGCCCCGCTGGAAGCAGCATTTGTAAAAATTAAATCCCTCTTATTAGGAGCTTGGCAGACCCATGTGCATGCACCACCCTCTCCCCCCACCCATGTCCCCCTGAGGAAGTGCTGGATGAGGCCGTGTCACAGCAGCAATTGGTTATCAACCCTTATCTGGGAATATGAAACTGTGTGGCATGGCACCCGTGGCCACAGCAGAGACGCCAATTCATCTCGCCCTCGCTCTGACAAGCTAGACTGCCCTTCCTGAAAGGCATCCGTCAGGCAGGACTGGGTCTGCCGCCATGCCCGGTCCCTCTGCTGACCTGCTGTGGGTTCCAGCTTGCCCTGGTCCACCAGACCCAGCCTGACTCTCCTGGTCTTTGCCGCCCTCCACCCCCCACCACAGGATCCAGTCTGGGAAAGATCTTGGGGAGTCATAATTATAATAATAATCTAATCACAGTGACGCGTGGGGGTGAACGTCTAGTGTTATCTGAAGTGGTCTTCCCGCTGAGCTGCGATAAGACTCAGGGTGACGTGCAGATAAGGCTGAGCTGCCCTGTCCCCGAGCCGTGAGCAGAACAGAGGGGCCTCAGCAGCCCGGCTGCCCGCCCGCCGCTTTAAGCCGGGAAGCGGCAGCACCTGCTAATGCAAGTGTTTAATATTTGATGGGCTGGGATAAAGCAGGATCACCTTCGAATTGAATTGAGTGTCAGCCGAGAATCTATTACTGAAATTCGGGTGTGATTTGACAGCAAAGTAGACGATGTTATTCTTCACTAGTTACTGCAATCTTCTCCCCGACATCACTTAAATATTTTTTTCTTTGCTTGAGTAAACACACATTATCCTTCTTTTTTCCCCCTTCCTTCTCTTTTTCCTTTTTAGAGAGGGAAAAAAAACATCCAGTTTGCCTTCTCCAGTCTGATAGGGTAGATTGTTATTTCTTTATTTGTCCTATTAAATGGAATTTCTGATCGTTTAATCCGGCCTTTGTAAGTGATTTTAAAGTACTTGAAAGCTGGCCCGCCACTGCTCTCTGGCCCACTGCGCTCCAGCCGTGGCCCTGACCACGCGCAGCAGCAACTCCAGCTGTGCACCGCCCACTGGCTGCTTTTCCTCGCTGCCTGTGTTCCACAGCTCTGCCCTGGCTCCAGGCCAGCATTCGCTCCCTGTCCTTAAGCCTCACAGTCAGTCCCCAATTTGTGGGTACTGCTATGGCCTGGGAACAGAGTGGGAGGGTTGGCTGGGAAGTTAGGCTGCGGACAGTACCTCTGTGGTCAAGGAAAGTGGCTTTGGAGGGGGCCGAGGTTGAGGCACACTGGCTCTAGCCTCCCATTGCCCATAGGACTGAGGCGTGGTTCCTGCAGCTGGGAAGGAACAGTCCTAGTCCTCCGCCCCATGGCCCTGACACAGACTCTGTGTTAGCCTCCTGTCTTTTACCTCTGACCCTGTACTGGGCCTGTTCCCCTGTGAGGGAGTCTGTAGTGGGTGATGAGCAGGCACCCTGCAGTGCCTAGCTCACCATGGCTGCAGCACTTTAGTTCTGTCAGTGGACTCACCATCCAACTTTTGGAAACTCACCCATGCTTCATTCCCATTAACCATGTCCCACACACTTCGCAAGACTTTTTAAGGTGTCTTGGGACTTTTTAAGGTGAAGGAATAGGTGACGTTTGAAGGTCAGCTAGCTACATAAGCCCACTGGTAGAAGCCCAGGACCTTGCTAGCAGACTGAACAGGAATTAGATTCCCATTGGGCCACTTACTAGCATTTTAACCCTTTTAAGTCTCTTCTTTCTGGGCCTCAGTTTCCTCATCTATGACATCAGGTCAGTCATGCCTGTAAGGGACTAAGAGAAGGAGAAGGTGCCATCCCTGTCCTGCAACGTGCACACCTCCTCCCATGGAGGTTGGTGGCGGCCAGGTGGCGCGAGGAGGGGATGGAGGGGGGCAATGAAGTGCTGGGGGCCTGAGCAGATCGATGCCCCCAGCACTTCCTTCCCCAACCCCAGGAAAACAATTAAGTACAGATCGATGAGTGACTGCTTTGAATATGCATAAGTGAGCACTTGACCTTCAGCAGAGATCTGCTCCTCCTACCACACACACACACACACACACACACTTCATGTGCTCCCTTCACAGCTGCTTGAGTGGAGCAGGTGACCTTACCCCTCCTCAGTTAGGTGATCTTACCCTCCTCAATTGAGCCCCCACATGGCACTCAAAAGCAACTTAACCATGGGCAGGTAGGTGACCCTTCTTCGATTTTCCTGTCTGTGGAGTGAAATTTAGATATGTTGGTCTCCAGGTCCTTCCCAGCACCAGTCTTTGTGACCAGCAATACTATGGAGAAGAGGCCCAGCAGACTGCTAGTGACCCTGGAGAAGGGGGGATCTAAGGAGGGGTGTCTGGTGAGGAGGTGCCCTGATGAGAGCAGGGGTTCTAATATGGAGGGTCTTAGTAAGTGGGAGCTTCTAGGGAGGACCCTGGTGAGGGGCCACCCAGTGAGAGCCAGGGGCGTCTGAGGAAGATACCCAGGAGAAAGAGAGCTCTGGGAGAGAAGGGGTTTCCTGGTGGAGGGGCCTGGTGGAAAGGGGACCCAGTGAGGGGACTGTCCTGAAGTGGCATGATAGAAGCCCTTAGTGGGAAGATCTGGTTGCGGGTGGGGAGGTGGTGAGTGAGGCAGCTCAGGGCCTCTGTTAACCATTCTTGCCTCCTGTCTTCCAGGCTTACAGCTTCGCCATGGGCTGCTGGCCCAAGAATGGACTTCTAGACATGAACAAGGGCCTCAGCCTGCAGCACATAGGCCGGCCCCACAGCGGCATTGGTCAGTCCCTCCACACGTTCCCCTGGCAGCTCGGTCAGTCCCCTGCTCGCATGCCCCAGCCCCTGGCACAAAGGAATTCTGTGGCTTATTCCTTGCTTTAACAGGGAGCTCTCCATAGCTGGAGGGAGCGGAGAAGGAGGGTGGAGTGAGGGGAGAGTAGAACTAGACCATTGGAAGGGATCACTCAAAATATTTAGGAGACTGGGGTCTGGACTTTGGGTGGCTCACAGGTGGCCCTGGATTCAGGCCATGCTTTCCCCACCCCCAGCTGCATCTCTGGTGGGTGATGTCCTCAGAGGGGTGGGCACATGTCAGCTTACCCACTCCCCGTGGAGATAGAGGAGGCTGTTTAATATTGTTTCAAGTCTGTGGCCACTAAACTGGGCGATCAATGGGAGTTAAGGAGATGAATTATTTAAACCTCACCAGCTTTTAATTAGTCAGGGTCCTTCTGACCGATGGCTCCGTCCACAGGGTATTGACTCCCCCGCAGGAGCAGCAGCCTCCATTGAGCGGTGGTGGGTTAGGTGGGGCCAGTTGGGGTTCAGGTGGGGGTGCACCCTCAGGGGGAATTCCTGCTTTGAAGGGGGCTGGAGTGGCTGTGGTTCTAGGCATTGGAGGCTCTGCTAGCTTCTGATAGATCAGTATAGGTATGTGTCTGACACCTTCAGCTGCATGTCTCTGTGTGTCCCTCTAAGAGTAAATATGTATCCATGTATATGTGTATCTGTTTGAGAGATGCATGTGTAACAATATATTTGTATACATTTTTCTGAGGGCACCTTGTCTGTATATGGAAGCAACCATCACCGGGTGTGTGTATCCATGAGAAAGTGTGTCTGTTCATTTCTGTGTATATTGTTTTGTGTGTATGAGCATACATGTGCGTGCAAATGCTTTCAGGCAGGGTACTTGACAGGCATAGTCTTTGTTCCAAGTGGGAAGGAGTGATAGTATTCCTAGGTGGTACTGTGACATTATCATAACCTGTGTACCTTTGGGGAGGGAGGAAGGGGGAGAAGACTGGCAAGATGCATCAAAAGGACCCAGTTACCTGCTACAGACTAGCCCTTCATCTTTTCCACAAACACAACTGGTGCCTAGCAGACACAGGGCATGCTGAGGAGGACCTGAGGGAGGTCACTTCCTGGGAGGAGACAGAAACTGAACTGGGCAGTTGCCACCCAGCATACTAAGGGCTGTGATTGAAACACCTGGGCTGCCCCAGGGGAGGTTGCCCTATTCTCAATTTCCAAGGTGACTTCTACCACATCATTTATACCTCACTGCATCATTCTTGTTGGGACATCCCAAAGCTCTCCTGGGGTCCAGGGGGAAAGAGGAAGTAGTCAGCAGGCCTTGGGAATCAGGGGTATTCCCAGCAGCAGCTGCTGCTCCCTGCCATAGGAGCTATTCCATGCAACCTGGAGGAGGCCCCAAACATAGCAAGGTGGTATGCCTAGGAGGTCAGCAGGAAGATTCCTAGAGAAGAGGACACTTTAGGCATGGGATCCTTGAAGGATGAAGAGAAGTTTGCTAGGTGGAAAAATGAGGGAAGGATTTTCTACTTAGGGGGAACTGTGAACAAAAGCCCAGGGGCACGAGGAGGTTGGCATGTAAGAGGGTAAGTTCAGACATCTACAAGTAGTTTCCTGTGACTGGAGTGGGACATTTGTGGTAGGGAACAGATAGAAAATAAGTGGCCTTGATTGCTGGTGAAAGGGTGTGGCTTTGAGGAGACAGAAGGTTTGTGAGTGAGAGAATGACAGGATCAGAGCTCTGGTTTAGAACTGATGAGGAGCTTTGTGCTGCACAAACTAGTTCGTTTTACTAGTTAGTAGGTGATCAGAAAATGGGCCAGATGGCTGAATGACCAAGCGAGGTAGTCGACGAATCAATGAAAGAGTGTGGGACCAGGGCAGCAGAGATGAGGACCCCCCGAGAAGATTTGCATTGGCCCAGGGGAGGAGTAGCTGCCAGCACCTGAGTTTGGCTGGAGGGAGGGACCAGGGGACTGAGTTAACACACCCTGCCCAGCCTTGAGCTAGGTGCCCTGCTTCTGTGTGTCTGTTCCAGGGTGTGTTTGTGGGAGAAAGGGAGTCCTCTTTTCCACTTTTGGCTGCCTCCTGGCATTCAGTGATGCCCACCTTGTCTGTTCATACATGTTGACTTTGGGTTAGGGCCCCTGCAGTGTTCCCTCCTTCTTCAGAGGTTTCTCCATCTGGGTGGGACAGCCCAAGGCGATGAGTGACAAGGGAGTAAAGGCTTTGGAGCCAGAGGAAGTTCAAGCTCTGCCACCCAGAGTCCTGTGACCTTAGACAAGAGACAGTGCTGCTGCCTCTCGGGTGCTGGGAAGGTTCAGTCAAGTCGCCTGAGTAAAGAGCTTGCACAGTGCCTGGCACTTGGTCTTTGTATCTTTGAATGAAGAGGTCTGCCCTGGCTCCTGGCTGGCTCTGAGGTATGGGTGAGGGTGCTTGGAAGGGAGGGAGGATGCAGGGCATTAATTGGGCTGAGAGAGGCGGGGAGGGGAGGTGTGAGTTTTGAGCAGTGAGGTTAATGGCCCTCGCGCCAAAGAGACAGCTTTAATGAGCTTCAGCTGGCGGTGCCCTGAGTTACTGTGCGTGCTAAAAGGGTCGCGCTGTAAGAGTTTGATGTGGACTATTTCCCAGCCCTGGGGTTGGGGTCAGCTCCTGTCACTGGCCACTCAGGCTGGTCCTTAGTGACATGGTGCTAATTAACTGTGTGAGGAGCTGCCAGCCTGGAGTGGGGAGTGGTATGTATATTGGTGGAGGGTGAGGCAGCACTGGTGATGCTGGGCAGGGGTTCTGCAGATCCCACAAACTTACCATTGCCAGGATCTGCTTAGTTCTCCAAAGTGCCATAGGGGAAGGGGCAGTGGCTCAATGTCGAATCGCAGATGACCCCAGGCCCTAGAGGGATCTTCTGAGCCTCTTTCTAAGGTATGTGTACAGGGGGAGTCTGTTGGGCCTACCTGGCAGGGACTCCTGCTAAGCGTTGGGGTGGTGGTGATGCTGAGAGAACAAGGGACAGGCAAGCCGGAGGGTTGGGCTGATGTGGCAGAGCTGAGAGACTGGGCTGGAGGAGGGGAGCGGGCCCACTGGGATGGCCATGGGAGGCTAAGCCATTGGATGGGAGCCGTGGGAGTGTTCTGGCAGAGCAGCGACCTGGTTGGAGTTGGGCTTCAATCAGAGCAGCCTAAGAGTTTGTACAGGGAGGACTAGTGAAGAGAAACTGCAGCAGGGAAAGGACAGTAAGGTGGATGGGGGTGACTGTTAATTTAGAGCTGGCAGTGGCCGTGGGAATAGCGGCAGGGGACCAGGTCAGTGAGGGTTACAGAAGGTTACCTCCTGTGTATCTGGAACTATGATAGATGTGTTGGTTAAGATGACATGGTGCCCTGTACCCACAGAGCGCACAGACACAGTGGTCAGGATGGGGTGATGGCTTGGCCCTGGAGACTGAGGGAGGGTTCAGAGATGGAGACAGTGGAGCTCCAGGTGTTGGGGGCTGTCAGCATGGCCTCTTAGGCAAGGGAGGGCCACTTTCCCCTGGGGTGGGGGTCGGCCTTGGGAACCTGGTGAACAGGGTGGTGTGGAGCAGGTTGTGGGTGAAGGGCTGCATGTCTGTAGAGCTGCTGGCTGCCATGGCTGGCAGTGGGCTCTTTCAGCATCCTTGGTTTGAACCAAAGTCTCTGAGGCAGGGCAGTCTCCTCGGGGCCTGGTGAGTGCTCTGGGGTGCTGCTTCGGTTTCAGCAAAGGCTCAGCAAGGTACTCACATTAGTATTTGGGGATACTTTTTATTAACTAATTTAATTTCCACACCAGTCTTATGAAGGTAGGCATCATCCTTTCCATTTTACAGATTAGGAAGCTAAGGCTCAGTTAAGTGACTGGCCTGAAGTCACACAGCCAGAGTGAGGTGGGATTCACACTCAGGCCTGCCAGAGTGTAAAGCCAGTGTGCTCACCATTGTGCTGAAGTAGGAAACACTTTTTGTTGTCAGGCTTTGTGCTACCAGCAGAGACAATAAGGAAAAAAGCTCACTTCCCTCATTTCCCTCATTGTTATGTGGAACATACAGACCTTGACAAAGCTTCAATAGCAACAGTTGAGGAAAGAAAGGAGGTGTTGCCACCCGGTTCCCTTCTGCCACAGCTGCCACAGCTGCTGCCCTCAGGCTGGGTCCCTCAGCTGTTGGCTTCTGATCCCAACAGCTCTTGCTCTGTGCTTTGTTTGTGCTCTACCTGTGGGCCCAGGAAACTCATGCCCATCTTCCAGCAGCCACCTCCTCTGGCAGTCTTGCCCTGCCCTCCCAGGACAAGTGTACGGAATACACCCTTGGGTACAATTACAGTTTGTCAGGGGTAATGATCAGGCTTACATGATCTCTCCAAGGGCAGAACTCAGGCCTCCTTCCCTTCCTCCTTTTTGGAAATCTACACAAGAATGTCCATAAAATCTCACCTGTTGTTAGGACTTGGAGGCCCCACAGACTGCCGGTTTCACCTGACTGAGAGAATAGCTGGAACCTTCCCTGATGCCTGGCTGGGTGATCCTGTCCTGGATGCTTAGCCCCTCTGCTCAGGGTCTGAAGAGCACCCCTCTGTGGCTCGCAGCAAGGTGAGATAGCCAGACACCACATGGACCGCCTCAGGAGTTGTTGCCCAGCACAGTTTGGCAAGAGAGCTGGGCTAGCAGGTGGCAGGCCAGGGGCCTGGCCCCAGTGGGGCAGTACTGGGCTGTGGTCTCCCCCTGAAGGTGTGGGGTGCATATCAAGAGTCCAGTCAGAGAGCGTTAGCTTTGTGACATGGATCTCATTAGCTCCCGTGAGAGGTGTCACTGTGGGAGAATCGTAGGCTCAGGGAGACGCTTATACGAAAGGGAAGAAAGGACAGTGACAGCCTTTTCTCTGCCGCTTCTGCCGCCACACTCCCTGGGCCGCCCGCCCTCCTCCTCGTAGGGGTGTGGGGGTGCTGGCTAATGAGCTCATCTACAGTACAGCTTTGCCTTCCC